CAGATGGATGATTCTATCTTCATCTCTCAAAGTTAGTATGCTAAGAAAATAGTGAAGAAGTTTGGTATGGATATTTCTAGTCACAAGAGGACACATGCACCTACTCGTTTGAAGCTCTCTAAAGATTAAAAAAGTGTTAATGTGGATCAAAGTCTGTGTACAAAAGCATGATTGGTAGCCTATTGTATCTCACAACTAGCAGACTTGACATCACATTTGTTGTTGGAGTTTGTGCAAGATATTAGGATGAGCCCAAAGTAAGTAACATCAATCAAGTAAAGAGGATTTTGAAGTATTTCCATAGTACAAGTGACTATGGCATGCTATATTCTCATGGCTCTAACTCCAAGCTTGTTGGATATTGTGATGCTGATTGGGCAGATAGTGTTTATGATATGAAAAATACTTATGGAGGATGTTTCTTCTTATGGAATACTCTTATATCAGCAAGAAGCCAAATTGTATGTCCCTGTCCACTACTAAGGTTAAGTATATTGCAGCAGGAAGCAACTGCTCTCAGTTGATTTGGATGAAGCAGATTTTAAAAGAACATAATGTCAAACAAGATGTCATGACATTATACTGTGACAACTTGACTGCTATCAATATTTATAAAAATCCTGTTCAACATAGTAGAACAAAGCATATTGACATCCGTCATCATTTTATCAGGGATCTTGTTGAAGACAAAATTGTTACTCTTGAACATGTGGCCACTGAGAAGCAAATGGATGATATTTTCACTAAAGATTTGGATGCAAATCAGTTTGAGAAGTTAAGGTGAGAACTGGGAGTTTGAATTTTTGAGGAGTTATATCAATTAGTCTTGTTGTTGAGGGAGATAAGGAGGAGGAAGATGTTGTTGCTAGTGATGTCTAATTTATGGCTAAAAGGGGGAGTAATGGTGTTTGGTATGGTAGTAGTACGTAGTATGTGTTGTTGTGTTACTGCTTTAATATGTTGTAGTGGTATATGTTTAAGGGGTAGAACAACTCACGGGAAGGATCATGAGAATAATCTGTGTTGTTGGGATGTCATACCACATGTTCTGACATTATGTCATGTCTGGGAGAATTTATTTTTCTATGCAGAATTTTCTATGTGTGCTTGTGTTTGTTGTACTATGAGTCAGAAATATTATGATTGTTCTCTTGAAGGGGAGATATGTGGCAGGGAGAGTAATATCTAATTTTCCGATCGTGCCTTTAAGGGTGAGTAGGTTGTTTGTGTGCTTATGCTCGCTAAGTGTGTTTGTTGTTATTGTATCTGTGATGTCAGACAAAATGTCATGACATTGTATTTTAGATTTTTTTTTGGAGTATCTTGGTGTGTGAAAGTTGTTTGTCTCTCTGTGTGTATCATCTTAAGTGTTGTGGTGTGTGCCTCTGATATGTTATGGTGTTATACCAAGTATGTGTGTCTTTTTGTGGATATCGGTGCTGTTTTTTTTTCTTTTTCTCCAGTTCTTTATGCCAAGGTTGTTTTAGTTAAAATTTGTCAAAGGGGGAGATTGTTAGTTCTGTGTTTTTGGGATTGACAGCAATTTTGTTAAAACATATTCTACAACAAGATGTTGAGCAAGATGTCTTGACATGTTGGTCAGACAGCATTGCAGAGATCTTAAGCATGATGTCGTGACATGTTAGTTAGACATCAGTGCAGGTTTTGTTTTACTTCTTAGAAGATATATTTTTAAAATGTGAGATTCACTATGGTTTTAGTTCACATTCTGTCATAGTCCAATGAGGGTTATTTTAGGAACATCAGTTATGTTCCAGAAGTAAATTTGTTTTATAAAAAGGGACTTTGAAACTTTTTAGGAAACATGCGATTTTGTTCCTATTTTTATGCAGAAGATTATGCATAATATTTGCAGTTGTTGTTTTGGATATGCATTTTGTTTAGATGAAGAGCCCAAAGCCCATGCTTACCAAAGGCTATTTAAAGAGGAAAGTGCAAAACCTAATTCACACAAGAAGAGAGAGCTACGCTTGAGTTTAGTGGAATTAGGGATTTAGTTGTTCTTTGTTTTTTGTGTTCCACTCTTATATCACCTTGATATCTGAGTTGGACTGTGTGTATTTGTGAGTCATTCATGCATCACTTAGATGCTTGAAGTGAATTGATTTTATTGAGTTGTAATTGTGAATCACGCATGAGCTTTTAAGCAATAGTGGATTCTGTTTCATTGGAAGTGTGTCTTTTATTATTCATTGTTATAAGTTTTATCATTGTTGTATGATTGAAGGGAAGTGAGAGAGGTCTTATATCTAGGATTGTCTTAGATAGAAATAGCACGGGTAATGATTAGGTGAGAAGATTGTTAATCGGAGGTTATTTAATTGGGCTTCAAACTAATACTATTATATTGGATTTCCTTCCTGACTTAGATGCCCGCAAATGTAGGTGATGTTGCACCGAACTGAGTTAACAATTAACTGTGTTATTTATTTTCAGTCATTTACTTTAATTGCATAATTGTTTGTGTTGTGTTTTCGCCCTTATTCAAGTGTTGTGATATCGTACTCGACATTTGGTGTCTGATTACCTGAATTTCAACTATAATCCAGTGTTGTGTGCAATAGGTTTGTCATCTATAATTGATTCTCATCTTCATGCTTTTACTGATGCTAAGTCCTTTATTCTTGACATTTGTAATAGAGAGGGTAAGAGGTATGCTAGTAGGTTTACTGTGATGATTGACATGCTTTGGAAGAATATGAATGATTTTGTTTGGAATAATGTTCGAGATGAGGTTTTGAGAATTGACTTGCAGGCATATTTCAATTGGCAAGATTGGTTTCAACTCGTAAAGAAAGTGATTTAAGTAATATCTCTCATCACCCAACAGTTTGGAGCCCTCCTAATGAAGGGAGATTGAAGTGTAACGTTGATCCTGAATTTAATTGTTAAAGAGGCACATCTAATAGAGGGTGGTGTGTAAGAGATAATGTGGGTAGATTTATTATTACAGGTGTGGCTTAGGACGTTGGTATCCTCTCCACCAATGAAGTTGAAGGCATGACTTTGAAAGAAGGTTTGTAAGGTGTTATATCGTTTCAGTTGAATAATGTGACCTTCAAGAGTGATTCTCAACTAGTTGTTTAGGCTATTCACTCTGAACATGTAAGGAGGTCGTAATTTAGTTTTGTTATTCTTTCTATCAAAAATTTGTTACATCTTTTTTCGAACTCATTAAACGCCAAACGAATTCGATTGTCCATATGTTAGCTAAGACGGCCAATTCTTGGTCTATGTATAATTTTATTTATGTGATAGCTCTTTGTATTGAATCTTTGTTAAGTAATGCATTAAGTTTGTTAAGTTTGTTTATGTAAAGAAAAAAACATTTTACACCTCTTTTTTACTATTTTCTACGGCTCTTTTTAAAATACAAATCTTAATACAAGGTACATACAAATCTTAATACAAGGTACTTGAAGTTTAAATGAAACTGAAAAGGTTATTCTGAATAAATGAAATTTTATTTGCAACCAATATAAATCTATTTGAACAAGATTGAAAGAACTAAAGAGAGAAAAAATTTATAAAAAAAATTGACACTAGTATTTTTATACTAGTTCAATCACATCATCCTCTTTAATAACTTACTCTAGTCCCAACCCCATAAGTAAGAGTTTTTTCTTTTGTAGGCACCAATTGTTTGATAAAATGCTTACACTATACAAAGTTTCTTTTAGTACTCAGTTTTCCTTCGACCAATCTTTGTAAAAATAAAAAATAAAAACACCAATTTCCGATCCTGCAAAAATTGGTCTTTAAATATTCACCTTTGATAAGCTTCAACCAAATCAATTCTTGAAGAATTCAAATCTCATGAACTTTCCTAATCATATTTGAGCTTCTATCGATGCTGAAGATCTTGAAGTAAAAACCTTTAAAATTCCATTAGGGTGAAAAGATTTAAAATCGTTTTCTTTCAGTGTTCAAAATGAATCTCACAATTTACATTATAAAACAAAAATTTACTTACAATGAAATCCATAACAAAGTATCTCTCAATGTGTTATCAAACTTTAAGCAATAATCTAACTGTTTTTCAAAGAGTTAACGAGAAATAAAAGTTTGAGAGAAGAATATGAATGTTTTAGGTCTACAAGAATGACGAATTTGTCAGTTTATATATGCAAAGAAATCAATGAACAAATGCTTTAAAAAACTGATTTTTACACCATGATTCAAATCATCATTAAAATGAATTTAACATGATTCAAATCATGCAATATAGAAAACTAAAACTTTCGAGAGTGATTGAAATCAGCATATCATGTGATTTGAATCACCAATACGAGTTTTTAATTTTTTATTTTTGAGCTCATAATTCGAACCACCATCCATAATTTAAATCATACATGCTATAGATCAACACTTGATTAAAATATTTATGATTTGAACCACTTAGATCTGGAGTATGAAAATTATTATTTTAATGAAACCGTGTGTTTTAGAAACTTTGATTTTAACTTGCATCTGATATAAGAGAATTATTGAGAAACACAAGTTAAATTCTTGAGACTCATTTTAAACCTAACTCTCACCTCAAACACAAACTAATTCCATCGCTGGAATGTTTGCAGGTAAATTATCATCCATTGGGATGAGACACATTGGTGGATAATGTACCTGTTGCAAAGAATTCTTCAAAAAAATAAACATTGTAACAAAGGAAGCACAAGTGGATGGAGATTGTTATAAATATTACAGATTATAGACTTTTTCAGAGTAAAAAATGAGTGAAGTGGGAACACTTCTGAAGGTATTCAAATTGTTATAGTTATAGATAGACAGACATTCAATCTCAATCAAAACTAGCAACCGGATACAAGTAAATCAGGGAACCACAATGATCGGCTAATGCGAAGAGACTAGCCCAACATACCGCGTACTTAAGAAATCCAAATCCTATTTTGATTGAAAGTTTTATGAACTGTGTGTCGAGGATTTTGACGAAAAAACAAAAAGGAAAGTGATACGAAGTTTCAATGTTTGCAGTGTTTGCATGGCATCTGTTGGTTTGGATTCTTTAGCTCATCACCAGCCACCAAAAAGTAAGCAGTGTGCCTGAAAAAAAAAAGAAAATTATGAATTTTAATCTTTATCATGTGTAATCATTTAGTAGGAAGTTTCATTTGAAGTCAGAATGTAAACCTGAAGAATTTCATCATTTTGATCTTTGAGTCATCATCTATATCTGGAGTAGTGTCCAAAGCTTGTTGCATGTGATGTAACCACCTCTCTGCAGCTTGATGAGTGACTGCAAATGGTCGATGTCGACCAATTAGAGCAGGGTGTCCTGCCATATATTTAAGAAAGAAACCAAGGTTCAATGTTCAAAATTCAATAACTGAGTTGATTGATTTAAGCAGCATGTCTCACCAGGACGAGACTAATTAATACACAACCTTTTGCACATATCTCATTCTCATGATCATTTTGCCTTTTATGTATGACATTCAGTTTCTATTTATTTTTATTATGAAAAATCTGCTTTCGACTGGGAAAAACAAGATTCAACCATCCTTAATAAAACGGAAGGACAAAAAACATAAGTTCTTAATTGATAGAATTGCAAATGATTATTACAGAAACTTCTTCTCAGTCAAGTAAATAATTCTTCTATCAGTATATCAGTTAACAGGCTGCTACAACTCACCTTGTGTAGCTTATTCATAAGCATTTTGGTTACTAACCATTCTCCAGTCATGGGACATGGAACCATGTTTCGATTAACTTTAGAAGCTTCTCAATTAAGATAAACTAATGTGTCTTTACTAACAAAAAACAGTTCTTATGAGTTATGACTGTTCATATAAAAGCTAAATGAGAGTTTTTTTCAACACAAGAACCATTCCAATCAATATCAAATTTAATTTGAGTACTTTTTTAAACATATTTCCCGTAGTGATTCATGTTTTTGCAGCAGTTTGATTCCTTTAATTAAGTATTTGTATAGAAGGTTATACAAACTCACCTCCTAAAAAGAAAAGAGCATTTTATACAGCAGTTTGATGGGGGATCCACTAGTAATTATAGTTATTGGCAAAGACTAGGGTGGACAAGTGTCTCATGTGATCTACTGTGGACCAATGCTTGAAAATCACTCAAAATGGTACACACCAAGTTTTAAAAAACGGTCTATTACCGCGAAAATAGCCGCGACAAAACAGTTTCGGGAAATGCTAATATAATTATTTACTGTTTTTGTAATAAAGAGCAAATTGTGGCTAATTCACACCGTGGCGATTTCGGAAAATGCTAATACAATTATTTACTGTTTTTGTAATAAAGAGCAAATTGTGGTTAATTCACACCGCGGCGATAGCAATCACAGTCGCAACACCTGTACAGACTGAAATCGCAAAAGTCTTTACGCGATTGCAGTTGTCGCAACACCTTTACCAGCCGAACTCGCAAAAGTCTTTATGCAATTCCAGTCGTCGCAACACCTACATGTACCAATCGAAATCGCGAAAATCTTTACCCGACTGCAGTCATCGCAAAATCTATACCGACCGAAATTGTGAAATTTACATGACCAGAACCATGGCCGTAATTTAAAACCTTGGTACACACTAGTCCACATTAGACCATTTATCAAAATGGTACACACTAAAATCGAATTTAGTCCTCAAAACTATACTAATGATTTAACGTAACATAAATTTTTATAATTTCAGGATCATTTGAAAATTTCTTAATTTCTTAATTTCAATAACCAAAATGAGCACTGATGCAATTTCAAAGACTAAATTAGGGATTCACTTCTTCACTATGTAGCACGACACCTCTAAGTGTACGTGTCGGTATCGGACACTTGCACATACACTTGTAATTATCTAAATTTATTCATTTTTTCAAATCATTATCTGTATCTTCGTGTCAGGGTCAAATTCGGGGTGTCAGTGCTTCATAGCTTCTTCAAGAACCATACAAATTTCAATACAAAAGCAATGAATTCAAACTATGGAAATCACTTTTAACCATTTGACATATTTTGATTCACCCTAAAATGCAAAAGTATGATCAAACAGAAAAAAAAAATACCTCTTCTTTGAGAGAACAGAGGAGGACCTCCCATTCTTTGCACGAAGAATTCGTACTGATTCTGAATAGCTTCTTCTTTCTTAGAACTAGCAAAAATTGAACGAAACCATTCTTCTTCGTCATCATAAACCCTTCCAAAACATATATAAAACAAATGAATAATTGTTTTCGCAGTTATAATTATACACTGAAAAAATTGAATAATGGTAGAAAATTGAAACCTGTTGTAAAAATTGGTGGAGAGGTTAATGAAGGTTTGCAGGCCATGTTTCTGGAAGAGATTGGTCTCGTCGATGGAGGAAGCTTCGTTCGTCGGAACTCCGCTCCATTCAGAAGCTTTCTGCTGTAGACTCTGCATTTTGAAACGACGACGAGTTTTGGATAAAACGGATGAAGTGTGTGTGAAGTGAGGAGAGAGAGGGATGAGTGAGATTTATAAAGCTCGTGGTGTTCGCGTGGATTGCACGGGATTAGTAGTAGTTTACTTTCTTTCTTTTTCTGTTGTAGTTTTTTAAATTATTTTAAAATATTAAATTAATTTTTAAATTTTTTTTTTTAACATTTTGATTTTTGATTTTTTTATTTTTTTTATAATAAATTGCAAATTTATATATCATTTAAATTGGTTTTTCGCGCTGATTACGAACATGCAATCAAATTTAGCAAACATATTACGGTTCATGAGAGTCAAATAAAAATGAACAAAATATATAATAAAAAATCATTGATCCGACCAAAATACACAATCAAACACAAAACTAATTACATATTCGTGATCAGCGCGAAAAATCAGTTCAAATGATATATGCGTTTGTAATTTATTGTAACGGAGATTTTTAAAAAATGACTAAAGTGTTACAAAAAAACTTAAGGGACTAATTTAATATTTTAAAATAACTTAAAAGACCTAGACAACAGTTTTTCCTTTATTTATTTGTGTGTGGAAAGAAGACATGGAACATGATTCTCTTAGTTGAAAATTGTTTTGATTTGGAATCAGGCAAATTTGTGGGTGGGTTCTGGTTTCATTGGATCAATGAGGTAATAGTGTCGATATATTTTACATATTTCTCACCCATTTTAGTGTATTGGAACTTACTCCTTAAAAAAGTGTATGGTAACTTATTGTCAATTTAGTCATGTTTTGAAGTGGAATAAGAAATATGAAATGTCAAAAAGAAATGAGCTCTTTCAGTACGACAACAATGAAAGATTTGAATGTATCTGAGCGGATTATATGTGATAGACGATTAAAGATGCTTCCATCTAACATGGCTTAAGATGTAGTGAGTAGTATGATCTGATCCAATGGTGAATGACACACTAGTAAATGAGATCAAGTATCTGAATTTTTGATGAGGATCTGCCTATTCATGTGTCCGCTTGTTGCACCCTAAAATTTGCTCAACCTATTTCACTTGGTTTATGTTTCAATTGCATTGTCATTTGCATATTAGGTCATGTACATAATTCAATCATCTGCATAGCATAGCATAAGCAAGCTATCTTAATCAGGGGATCAAGTGCTATTCTTATCCCAAGAGGCATATTCAAGGGTTTCATTCATATTCAAGACTACTCAGGTCATCAGGGAAGAATTTGAGCTTTGAAGTGTTGACAGATCACTCATTGGGTTCTCCCCTATCTTGAGGTTATTTGGGGATCATCAGAGGAAGTGTGAGCTATGAGCCAAGAGCATGAGGTGTGTATGGATGTTATGAAGAGCCTAGATGATCATTTTTGAGGAGTAACCAAGTCATTGGAATGATTGCAAGAGCCTCAGTTGAAGTCAGTCAACTAGGGTTTTATCTGGGTCAACACTAGGTCAACCCTAGGTCAAAGACTTGTTTTGAAAGGCATCAAGGCTCATTTGAAGAATGTGGGATTCATTATTTGCTATATGGATATGGATGTGGTGTTGTGCCAAAGAAAAATCAACAGGAGTCAAGGAGAAGAGGAGTTACCAAATTAGGGTTTCAGTGTAAAATCCCCTGATTTAGGTCAAACTTCCAAGCAGTGTAATTCAAAATGTAAGCTTCATATGAATTTCTGGTCCACATGAGACTTGTAGAGTGTCTTCATAGCTTTAATTTGAGTGGTGGAAGTCATCAAGATGATTTATAGAACTCAAGTTATGGCGCTTGCAAGTTACAGGTCATCTGAGAACACTGAAATTTGTCTGTGAAAGTTGCCTGTCTTCCAAGAAACTTTTGACCTTCAAGGAGTTTTTAAATGAATTCTTGGAAAACATAAGGGTTGTTCCTCATGATCTCCCCTTTCCAAAAAGGTATGGTATGCCTTCATCTGATATGTGAAGCTCAAGTTATAGCTTGTGCAAGTCAGGGGTATTTTGGGAAAGTGGAATTACAGGTCATTTCAAGCCTATGCCTAAAACTCATACAAGGAAGCTTCAAATGAAAAACTTCACAACATCAAAGTTGCTCAAAATGGCATTTTAAGTCTAAAGAAGAGGTCATGGCATGTTGGAAAAGCTTGTAGCAAGAATTGACCAAAGTTGGTAAAAATGACTTAAAAAAGGGACATAACTTGAAAAAGTTCAACTTGGAAATTGGTATGGGCAATCTACACATCCAAAATGGGGCATATAATATATTAAATTGAGTCTAAACAACATTTTAAAGACATTAGTTCAGCCACAATTTTGATTTGAGGTCTTAAAAATGGACTTGCTTTGGAAATCCATTACTTGCATAATAAGGCATTCATGTGAAACTTAACACAAGGCAAGGGATTAGTTTGGTAAGCATCATATTCTCTTCAATAACTCATGGAATGATATTTTCAAAGGTGTTTAAGTGGATTGAAGTGAGATATCATGAGATGAGCCAATTTAGGACATTTAGGACATCATATTCTCTTCAATAACTCTTTCTTGACTTAGAACTCTCAATTTAGGACATTTTTATCTTAGCTATTGTGTTTAGAATGATTAGGGTAACATGTAGATTACATTAGTGTAAGAATTAGCAAGCTCCATTAACATGCATGACAGTGATATTGTAGTGTACCCTAGACTTCTAGTCTTCGTATTTTACTTTAGGTTGAGTTTTAGAGAAAACTGAAATTAGGGTCGTGTAGAGGGGAAAGAGTAGATGAATTTTGATCTTTAGGTCGTGGCATTTCATGGAAAGATGAGAGAGTACGTGAGAGTAGAAGTTGCATGCATGGAAGATGAATTCTGAAAACCCTAGAATCTAATTGGAGAAGACAATGTGTGATCCGTTGGATTGGGTTGATTTGTTTGACTCAGGATTACATCTAACGGTTGATATTTAAAATGAAATGGAGAGAAATCTGAAGGATGGAGAAACGCTGCGTTTCATTTAGTGAAACGTGTGGGCCTGGACTGAATTTGATTTCCACACCTCCAATCTAAAGCCCATCAAAAATACACTACATATGGCTGCTATTCACACCGTGTCCCCATTCATTTTATTTTGTTTTTTTAATTCATTTTTCTGAAGCCATTGGGCCTAGCGCCTTTTACTCTTGGCACCACCGAGTTTGAGCCCATTAGGATAAAACACTAGGCGCCCATGCTATTGACACCCCCTCCCCATTTTCTCTTATTTCTTTTATTTTAATTCTTTAATTTTCTTTTGATTTTGTAAAAATCATAACTAAATGAAAAATTAATGTTTTTGATTTCTTCTTTTTGTGCTAGGTTTATAATGCTGTTAAGAAAAATTAGAAAATATTAAAAGTCCATTTTATTTTGTTTTAGTATTTTTTGTGCATTTTTCTTTTAAATAGCTTTTTAATGAGTTTAGGTTAATACATGATTTTGTTGATTTTAATTCTAATAGTTCCCTTTAGATTTAGGACCCATTCCTTTTAGTGTACTTAGCTTAGGACCTTAACTTGCATAGAGGATTTAATTTGTGATTTTTAGGATTAATTGTGAGGTAGTTTGATTAGGTGAGATTAGAGAGGTTTAAATTAGGGTTTTAGGTGTGACATAGGTGAAGTAAATCATTTCTTTTAGGAGTTTTAGTTTGATTTTGGGTATGGGACTATAGGGATATTATGGGTAAGTATAATAGACCCTTGTGAATAAATGTTAGAATTTTCCCCCTTGTCTTTGTATTTTTAGAATATTTTCTGAAATTGACTGATTGTAGTGTTTGTTTTGTGTTTGATTGTCTATCTTGTGGGGTTTATCTTTGGGGTATTATTGTGGGGGCTTTGCTTGCTTGAAGACCTTGTTCAAGGAGCATGATGAAGGAGAAGATTGAAGATTAAAGACCCAGAGGTTGAGAGGTTTGAGGCTTGCTGGTAGCTGTTGAAGACTTTAGGGTTTAGGAGCTAGGTAGAGCTCTAGATTAGAGATTTGATTCATGAAACATGGAATGCTTCTTGTGCTTCCATTCTTTCCCAGTGACTAAAAGTCCTTCTAAGAACTCACCTCTCTCCTTTGGAGGGATAAGTGATTGGTCTTAGAGGTAGAACTTTGAGGGAACCTGTCCCACTATGCTAATCCCTTATGAGCTTCCTTTGGTTGTTCATAAGCTGATTAGCATGCCAAACTAGATCTCTTGATTCTTTTCTGTTATCCTGGAGCGCTTACCCTTTGAAGATGGAGATCATTAAAGATGAAGATTGTCAAAGCAAGAAGCTAGCTAGAGCTTGGGGGTTCAATGATGGAGATTGAGCTTGGAGATTCATTTGAAAGAGGATGTGTTGTGCATCAACTTGGGAGTTTGCTGTCAGAGCTTGGGGCTTTTGCTGTATTGTGTGTGATAATTCCCCTAGGTTTAAAGTGAAATGTGCTTCACTTTTACCTATTGTGTTCAGGTTCGAGGGAGTTTGGCTCCCTTGCCTAGCTTGTTTGCTGTATTCCTCATTATTTCACTGTTTACTGTATCTGTTTTTGCTTTCCGTTTATTCCCTTAGGAGCTCTGTTTCTCTCCGTGCAAGAGAGTAACATGACAGACATTAGGAGCTAACCCATGTATGATAACATTAGGGTAGATTTTATTCCCTTTTTAACCCTAGGATTTTAGAGTGTCATCTTTTATTTCTTCAAAACAACAAAAAAACATTAATAAAGGTTATAACAAAATCAATTCATTTCTTCCGTCAAAAGATTTGAACAAACATCAACCTTTTTGCAATAAGAAAACCCTTGTTTAAGGTGATATTTTTCATAAAAGACATTTGAACAGCTTGTGTCGTGCGTAGCCCGAACTACGTTTGCTCTGATCTTTCATGCTGTATGAAAGTACGTAGGCATAGGATGCAGTGTCCTAGCGAGCAACCTTCACCCACCTTCACCCGTAGTTAGGCGAACTACGTTGACTCTGATTTCTCGTTCCAGACGGGAATACGTAAGCATAA